TGGTCTGGGAAGAGGCTGGTTCGGGTCTGTTGGCGCAGGGGTCGGGTCAGGCATTCATCAGTGCGGAGTCGGGGAAAGGCTGAAGCTCCATCCCGGGAACCACTCAGGTGGTGGGGGTGGGAGCCCATCTTCATGGAGGTGGCCTGGCCCCTGGGTGACCAGGTTCAGGCCACACTCCCAGGGCTGCTGGGGGTCTTGGGTGCCAGCCCCCACCTCAGCAGGGACACCCTGCTCCACCTGCTCTGCTGTTTCCATGCAGCCTCCAAAACCTCCGGTCTCCAGGGTCACCCTTCGGGAAGCGTCGGCCTCTTCCAAGACAAACCCTCTCCCCTGTGTCATCTCCTCCCCACCCCCAAGTTCAAAGCCACTCCTGCCTCACAGCCAGTCCAGCTGCTCCTCACCGACACAGTGGCCGCGGTGACCCGCGAGGAGTGACGGTGAGCACTCACCTTGTTCGGGGGCGGAAATGAGGGCAGCGCCGTTGTCCGATGTGAAGAAGACGAAGGTGTTGTCCGCGACGTGCAGGTCGTGGAGAAGCTCCAGCATCTTCCCAACGCTGTCATCAATCTCCCGGACGGCATCTCCATACCTGGAAGATGGAGACAAACAGATCAGGCAGCCAGCGGCATATTGGGATTCACGGAGTACGTTAAATCTTAACTTCACAGACGACAGCGAAACTGGCCGGCCTCTTCCCGGAAGAGGAATGGCTTCAGTTCAAGTTTACATGGCTTATGAAGGACAGAGCCGGCACCCCCACCACAGCCCTCCTCTCCTGATCCCAGGCCAGTGGACGGCTTCAAACGGGGGGGTTGCTCTGGCCTTTCCAAAATAGTCACTCAATGCCACGGTACTGAGTGCCCCATCTCCGGAGTCACCAAACACAGCTGGGGCCTCCAGCGTGGTCTGTGCTCCTTGGAACCAGGACTCACCGCCCTCGCTGACTGGTGCCCAAGAAGGGTTTGGAGGCGTAGACGGGTGCGTGTGTGGCGTCGACAGCCCAGTAGAGGAAGAAGGGGTGGCGCTGTGCCTGTCTCTTAATGAAGTCCAGGGCTTCCTATGGTGAGAGTCGCACCGTCCTCCTCCAGCCTCAGGCCAACCTCCCCACGCCTCCTGCAGGGCGAGGCTGCTGCGGTCCCCGTCCCCCCGCCTCCCGCAGGG